GGAATTAGTTATATGGGTATCTAGAGGAAGGGCACTCCAGGCAGGGGAAGTGCCTGTGCAAAGATCCTGAAGTGGAAGCATGTCTGGCACATTCAAGAAACAGAAAGGAGGCCAATACGGCAGTAGTGGAGTGAACCAGGAGGAAGGCAGTAGGAGATGAGGTACGGGGATAATGGACGCTGGACCCAGTAGACTTCTAGGCCATCCTAAGAGTTCTTTCTCTAAGTTGGGGTCTCTCAACCCAGGCACTGTTGACATTTTTGACCAGATGATTCTTGGTTGTAGGGGGCTGTCCTGTGCATCACAGTGTGTTTAGCAGCATCCCTACTGGCTGGCATCCACTAGATGCCAGTAGCACACTATACCAGAGTTGTGACAACAAAAAGTGTCTCCAGGCATTGCCAGATATCCCATGGGCTGGGGATGGGTTACCCCAGATTGAGAACCATTGTTCTAAGTGAAATAAACACACAACGGAGGTTTTTGAGCAGAGGAATAACAATCTAATTTACATTTTTAAAAGGTCACTCAGTGTGTCCTATTGAAAATTGCCTTGGGCAGTTGGTGGGTGGGCAGGAAAAAAGCAGGAGGACCATTTAGGATAATCCAGGGACTTGAACTAAGCATGTCACAGTAGAGGTGGTAAGAAGTGGTTGGATATTGGATATATCTTGAAGATACAGTGAGTAAGATGTGAAAGAAAGGAGTTGAGGATTACTGGAAGATTCTTGGCCTAAGAAACTGGAAGATTCTTGGCCTAAGAAACTGGAAGGATAGAATTACCACAAACTGAAGTATGGAAGACAGTGGGTAGAAGAGGTTTGGGGTGGGAAATCAGTAGCTCAGGTTTGGGCATGAAGAGTTTGAAATGAAAGTCCAATAATCCAAGTCAGAGAATATGAAGCACTGAACTGCGTATGGCCATAGAGATGGACAAGGTCTGCTGTATTCAAGAGATAGCCATTTTGATTAAAAAAAAAAAAAAGAAGTACAGTTTGGCACTCAACTGGAGGAGAAAAAAGGGAAGAAGTAGAAGAAGGCCTTGTGATTTTGCAGCTGGCGTGATGCTGGTGGTAGGGGGAGGATGAATCCCTGAACATAGAAATAGAACCTGGCATGAGAAACAGGGGAGGGAAAGATAATGGTCTCATCACTAATCATACTGGATTTGAGGTGCCAAGGGGAAAGCCGAGAGGAAAGGTCTAGAAGAGAGTTGGCAAAGCAGCTCTGGTGCTCAGGAGCAGTCACTAGCTAGATACAGAAGAAAAACCCCCCGCCCCCCCCCCCCCCCCAGGAGTTACAGGTATATCAAGGGAGACTGACAAAAAGAAGTGATTAAGGATGCCAAGAGACTGAGAAGGAACAGTCAAAGGCAATCAGGGAAGAATCAGCATGGAAGGAGGGATACAGGAAAATTCAAATAAACAGAAACTCAGCTAATGCTAAGCTACAATATCTGTAACAATACAATGCTCAGTCCTAAGGCCAATCCCCTCTGTTAAATGAAAAGTAAAAGTTTATTGAGTTGGTTATTTAAATGTACTCACTGAACTCAAAATTCAAGCTTGTAAAATCACAAACAATTTTTAATCATCAAACACAGCACCTAACTGTATTCCATGAAAAATCTGTCCATGCTTAAGTTTGGCCATAAAGATGGGTCTATGGGCTTGATGCGCCACAGGGAAGCTAAGCTTTCTGTGCTATGTGCCTTTACTATCACTGATTATTTATGTATATCCTTGGATTTTACTAACACATCCCTTATCTGCTGTTTTGCAGACTCAGAAGTGTGTGAGAAAAAAAGATTCTGAAAGCTCTCAAAGAATCATTCATAAACCGTGTATTTATTAAATGACAAGCAGTTTGAACTCTGCCTGATTAAGCCATTTATACTTATGCAAAACAGCAAAAAAAAAAAAAAAGTACTCAGACTAAAGGTTACAATTATATTGAAAAAAATTATTTGATTCCCATCAGATTTATCCTTCATCTTCTCACCTCGTGATTTCAAAAGGAAGCAAGCCTTGGCTTCCAGTCAAGATGGCAGAATAGACAGTTCCCAGACTCACTGTCTCCCACAGATCAACCAATTTACAACTATGAAAAAGCAACAACAGCCAAGCTGGGGCTGCTAGAGCTCAGGGGAAGAGGAGGAGAGACCTACGGAGTGTGTGTAGGCAGGAGAAGCCATGATGAGAGAAAGAAAAAACAACTCCTACCATTTTGTGCTGTGGCCACTTTAATGCTGGAGCTGCTGAGTGCATGGAGCAGGAGCTGGCAAAAGCCACAACTGTGCCCTTTGGATGAAGTTGCTTGGAGGCAGCAGGAGAGAAGAGGGCCTTGGTCGCCCTCAGGACAGCAAGATCACTAATAGGGTTCCTGTGGGCCCACATAGGAGCAAGGAGCCATAACAACTGAAAAAAAGGAGCCACTCATAGTCCAGTGAGTCATTGCAAGGGACCGGCGTATGGCCCATCCCATGAGAAGTGTTTGCAGCATGGGCGGTGGGGGAGACAGGCCCACTGGGAAAACACGGGGGCACAGCAAGGACAGCTGACCGGCACCCCAGTTAGCGAAGGACCACTCAGAGGAGACTGGTCAGGAATATAGAATTGCATGGGGTGCAGTTTGATGAAAAGACTCAGGCCCAGATCAGAGTTTCTATACAACCCAGGTGCACCATGTCTCTGGAGAGCTGGAAGTACCTATAAGGTCAACTGTAAAAACCTGAGCTGCACAAAAAGCCTTCCCTAGGGAATCAGCAGCAAAGCAGCAATTTAGCTCAACCATACAGCTCAAGTACTGGTCCCCACAGGAAGTTTCCCCATTTTAGAAATAAGCAAAGGACAAAAAGTTAGTTCCGGCCAGGCACACTGCCAGTGCCTTGGGGCCTACTCGGGTACCTGAGACATGGATCCGGGTACTGGACCTCCCTCCCACAACCAGGCACACCATCAGCACCAAGGAGCATGCCAAAAACATCATCTCCATGTGGGTGGCCCACCACAGCCACCACAATAACTACGGCTTCCGCGAAAGCAGCTAGATCCCACAACCACCATGCAGACAGTCCACCAGCCACTGGAGTGCATTGACACAAGAAAGTCACCAGCAGAGACCAAAGAAAAGAAGAGGATATCTCTCTCCACAAAGCCCCTTCCAGAGTGACAGAAGAAGCATCTGCTCTATGGTAATATTGGGGGACCTGAACATACCTCTCAGCACTGGACAGATCATCTAGGCAACAAATCAACAGAGTGACCATTACTCTTTCAGAAGGAGAGAAGAAATCTAGGGTTATCAGTGGTGGGAGGGGGGAGGGAGAGGAGGATAGGGAAGGATTGGACAAGGGGCATAAAGAGTAAGTACGATTTGTAACAATATATATGCTAGTAATATTGATTCGATCAACATGTCAATGTTGAACCCCCAAAATATGTATAATCAGTTATGATTCAATAAAAATTAAAAAAAAAAAGTAAGCAAGCCTTTTGGAATTCCTCAAAATCTAAGTTAGAGGTTATGTTGCCATATCTTGACTGAGAAAGCTTAGTTTTTCCCTTTCACCCACTTCTTCTCTGAGAGCATGATCCCTATCTGGGATTGCCAGAGGTTTCAAAATACGTGTCTAGTAACGGCTCTGTGTCCTGCAACTAACTTCCCAGTCTGGCCAATCAGATGATATGCATTTCCTCCTTTCCATCAGATTTTCAAAATCTTCATATTCACTGATTCACTCACAATTCACTCAACCTTTATTGCATCCTAACAACAGTGGAAGCCTTTTGCTTGGCTCCAGGGAGAACAGGGCAGGTCTGCACAGGCAGAGTACGGTACCCTTGCTGCTTTTGGCCTTTCAGTGAATTCCAACCCAGGTACTGACTTAAAAATATCTGAGTAAAGAAAGCCCTAGAAAGCTGAAAGGTTTTCCATCTCCAACATATCTGGGAACAGTGATCACTCAGGGATGTGCAGGAACGGCTCAAAGGTAGAGTCTGGGGCAGCTTCCCTCACCAGAGAAACAGGGCTACTCCTCTTCATGCTCCAGAAAGGCTTTCAAACAGCAGACTGGAAATGGCCAGATTATCAGCAATGGAAGAAGGGAAGCAGAAAGCAATGTGGTTTTCAGTAGCTGAGACTGAACAAGTTCTATACAAACTAAGGTGTACACATTAACTCCCCCTAATTTCTCAAACCTTCCCAGCGAAAATAGTAGGGAGAAGAGGGCCCTGACATTAATATTAACGAGTTGCCACCGGCCTGAGCGCAGAAGCATTTGACCAATGCCACAAAGAATCCCAGCCACCAAAAATGTTTGGAGGTTGCTCTCCTCCAGCTCTAGGGCGGAGCACAAAACAAAAAGGCCAGAAGGAATTGTGCAGTGAAGAAAACTCAGATTGTTTACATGGCACAGTTGTGATGCTGATCCCCTGCCCTGGGGTTGGCTGTGAGTCTGTCCATAGCCACTGGCATAGTGAGGGGGTGAGGGGGGTGGACAGAAACACAATGCAAACCCGAGTGAGTACCAGCTTACTGCGCCTCGGTTTCTGGAACTGCAAACTGCAACCTCAGATTTGCAATCCTTACTCATTCTGCAGCTATTTCACAGCAGGCTGGACTTTCTTGAGTTATTTAGATTCAACCAACCCTAACAACACCCCCTCCCAAGGAACTGCCCTCTCGCTCCCACAAATTCTCTGGGACAGCTGTTCTTCCATCAAGTGCTACGAACCCTAAAGGAGATGCAGCAGTCTGGTGACCCCCATAGTGGAGGAAGAGGGCTGAGGTGAGGAAGGGAGATGCCCCATTACAGCCCCCCCCCCCCCAAGTCCCCTGGGGCGCCCCGACGGGACCCACGAAATACTCGCAAGACCAACAGCTGTCCGGGCTCTGGGACCTGGAACGGCGGGGTTGGGGGTCGTGGGGAGGGCCACGGACCGCTATGGGTCGGCCCGCCCGCGCTGTCGCCCCCACTCCATTCGGCCGCCCATCCTTACCTCAGCAATGCCCCAGGTCAAGAACCTCGCCGCTCGCGAGCCTCCGGACACCCGCTGCCCGCGCGCCTAGCCATTATAGCCGCGCCTCGCCCCGCCCCACACGTTCGGGCCAAGCCCCCACCTGACAGACCAGCGCCCCGCTACGTTGATACGTACCGCCCTGACCACGCCCCACCAGACAGTGCGGGCCTCTGCTCTCCGCCCTGGCCGCACACCTCCCGCCGAAGCCACGCCTTGCGCTTCGCGTGGAGTAGCCCCTCCACCCTAGGCCACGCCTCTGCGCTCCACTCTGGCCCCGCCCCCGCCCCCGCCCCTCGCCTGACCAACCCCCCTCCTTTTCCCTGCCCACAGCTAGTGGCGTTTGTGGGGTGAAATCGGACTGCTGGCCTACGATCCTCGTCTAAGAAATGACTTTTTTCAGATTCTCTCCAAACGCCACGACTTGATGTGTTAGGAACAGGTGACTCAGTAGAGAAGCAACACTGGACGTGTCCTTTCCCGCCAGTTTTCATGCCCAATTTACTCGAGTTTCTTCGAGCCAGTTTTCACGTCCTCCAAACTGGATCTGTGAACCCGTGTTCCTTCCAGCCAGTTTTCATATCCTGTAAACCAGAACTGTGAAAGCGTGTTTCTTCTAGCCCTACAGGCCGATCTTAAATGCTAGGCAGATGAGTGGAGTATGCAGAATTCCTCTACTGCCTGACGTCTCCTCTCCATGACCTTTGCTAGGCACCTAGTGCCCTCTTGCTGTCTAGGGCCTGTGGAGACATCGCCCCACTTAGAATGAAACTCTGGTTGCAGCCCTGTGCTCTGAGATCACTCTTCTGCTATTTTTGCTCCCGTCATTTACAACTCTGCGTTTTCTTCACAAGAAAAACGTGAAGCGGTTATAACCATCTTTCTTCCCCTGTGTGTAAATCTCTGACTCATTCATTCAAGTCACATTTATCGAGTACATGCGTCCCTGACAAATAAGACAAGCTTCAAGGAGCTTAAGAAGTTGTCCTAACTTGGGTTTTGACAAGAAATGATGAAAAAGTTAGGGAAGATGTGGGAAGGGGTCAATAGGTGGAAAAAGACTTGGTCTTCTTGATTCCATTAGTAAAAATATTTTTGAGCGGCAAACACAGGAAGCCACTTTTATAGTACTTAGTACACTTCTCTACACAATAAATTCTCAATAAATATTTATCGAATATTTACCCTTTTCACATGTATAGAAAGATATAATCTCCCCCTTTATAGCAGTAGGATTTGCTACTTATGCCACTGATAAAGATTTTATGATTACATTTTAGTTACTTTTTCTTCTTTTCCTATCCTCCATTTCTGGCTCGAAGACAGTGAGAATATTCAAAATGTTGTGCTAGGATGAACACAGAGAAAAGAACAAGTTTCAGTAGAACACCCTGACCCTGGGAACCCTGCTTCATCTGTAAAATGTTTCAACTGTTGGTCATTTTTTTTCTCTGAAAAATGACAATCTCACAGAGATTGGTTAAAATGCAACCTCTATAAAAATTAGTGAGTTGATTGCAACCTGTATTAAAATTATTGAGTGATTCTACCTCACCTTCTTCCACAAATGATTGAGGCACCATACTAAAATACAGACAGTACTAGATAAAAGAGTTAAAGAAACCAAGGAAAAAGAAGCTGAATGGAAGGAGAATAATGCAACCAATAAAATTAACACTTAAGCATGCATTCCATTGGATCCAGAGCAGTTGTCAAGGGCAGGCCAGAAATTTGACTCTAAGTTTTTGAATTTCTGTAGAAAAGATAGATAGTGACTATTTTAAGGTTTCCAGTATTTATAAAATAAAAATCACCCGGGTTTTTGTTTTGTTTTGTTAGAAGCACAGTTTTTCTTGAATTTTAGTCCTGTGGGAAAGTCTGTTTCCTCATGAAGATGATGTAGTGAGCTGAGTGGAGACTAAGTGTCATAAGGAGTTACACGCAGATCCCCTCAATAGAAACTGTTGGCACAATCAGAGTGCATTAAATCAATTCTATAAACCATCAAAACTTCTGTTCACTTGAGCACACAGGCCCTCAATGATCGTCTTTCCCCAGGATGACAAATAGGTTTCAACTCGCATGTCAACTCTGGTCCATTCATAGTAGCTGCCTGAAATAAACTGTGTTGTGAAGTTTTGTGGCTGAGTCCAGGCTCAGAAAGGAAAAGTTCTGTGATTAATTAACACTGTCTGTCGTGCGTACAGGACAGGTGAGCATACAACAACCTAGCTGGCATCCCTGAGTTGTAGGAATGGAGAGAGATATTACAGTCCTCCAAAAACAACATTTCTTATTATAGGGCTGTTGATAATTATCACATGGGAGAGAGTTCAAAGTCATTGTCACTGGCCAAAACAAGGGCAGAAACTTTGAGATGTTGATTAATTGATATGCTTTGTATGTCAACCAGGAGGAAGATAGTTTAAGGTTCTGTTATAAAAATGAGAGCATCTAACCAAAGTGGTACATGGCCTGAGGACCCCTCCACCTCTTTATAAAGGCTTGCAAAGTAGGTAGGTATGGGCAGGGCTAAACACTTTTGGGTAAACTCCAACCGACAACAAATGGATGACTAAAGACCAAACATCCTACCGCTGTGTACGGCTGCAAGAATTTTAGCTTAGCAATACAAGCATTGTGTGCCAAGATCATGGAAAACTTTTGGGATAATGCCTAAGAAGCAGTATAAATACGTGAACATCTAGGAAGGAATATCAGAAGACTCAGTACAGTCTTGCTTTGACTGTATGGGACCCACTATGACTTACTGGTATTCATTCACAGAATGAGACCCACAAAGAGGTACTCATGCGTAGTGTTTAAGAAACTGTCCTTTACACCTCTGGTTTAAGAATATGAGGATACTGCAAAAAAATACATGGAAAAATAAATTAAAAGATAATGTGAATCTTTCCATGAACTTTTTGAAAACCGCTCCATAATGTTGGCAAAATTATACTCACTCAGTTTGTCTGAGTTAATTTTTATTTCCAAGCAGTAGTGATTAACTTTCCCTGAAGTAAAAAAATGTTAGACTGTGAAAAATAAGTCAAAGTTCATAACAGTTATGGCTGTTAATTAACCTACAAAATTTGATGAGACTTTTGAATATGCTAGTTTCATGAGATTTTCTCATAAAATAGAGTGTAAAATATCAGGATGGAGACAAAATATTCTAAAACCCAGGATTCTTTGTTTATGATCGATCCTGGAAGTTATTTTTGTTTTTTGCTTTTTGTTTTTCCTAGCTAGAAATGAGATAAAAAGTGCAATATACCTGAAGACACTACTTTCCCAACAGTTTTGGGCTCCATAGAAGTCCAGTTTATGACTAGGATTAGTCAGTTCAGTTATATTCAGAAATCAAATATTCATGAGCTATGAGAAGTACAAAAATGAACCAAATATAGTCTCTGCCCTCCAGAAACTCATAATTTTATAGGACACAAAAGTAGATCATGTGGGCAATAGATGCATATACAAATGTGGACAAAATGCTAGGTCCCACATGGATACTCCCAGGAGGTCACTCTCCCTGGGTTCTGTCCAAGTGGCATTGGGAGGGGGGGCACAGGGCTCTGCCCCATGATGAACAGTCCCTTTTCGTGATGATGGAGAAGAAGCTGGGCCTTGAGACTGCACCTGCATATTCCGACAACTTCTCAGAGTCTGCGGACAATGAGGAGATAAAACATGCAGGAAAGTCTTCTACAGAAAAAACAAACAAACAAACAAAAAACAAAGCTATGGGAACACAGGAGATGGAGAGGATAAGAAGTAAATGGATTTGATGAGCCAATTATAAGATTCTACAACAAAAGCAAAAGAAAGGAAAGGTTTCTCAAAGGAGGTGATATGATAAATTAAAATAGACCTGGAACAATGGCTAAGATGTTTAAAGGTAAAAAATCAAAACTCACAGGATTCAAGTTAAGCAAACGGTGTGAAAACACACACACACACACACACAGAGGACAGAGGTAGGATGTGACCAACTTGCAGGGACTGGCAGGTAGAATGGCTCAGAGGGGCTAGGGGAGGGAGCATGAGTGTATATGCACCTGAAAAGCCAAGTTGGGTTCAGAGCTTAGAGAACAAAGTATTTGGATTCTCTGACTTGGCCCTGGGGCACTAATGAAGATTTCAATGTGAAAAGGACTTCCGTGTAAACGACAGGAGAAAGATAATGGAAGGTAGGAAGGGCAGTCCATGACAGTGAGTTTTGATATGTCTGTTCTTACTAATCAAGGGCTGTTGGACTGGCAGGATGTATGGAAAGTGAGGGCCAGCAGGACCCTAGTGGGAACACAAAGAAGGGAGACATGGCTTCCTCCCCAAACAGCATTTGTGGGAATCAAAACTGGTCCCAAAAGGAAGGTACCAAAAACATGTAGATACTTCTTATAAAGAATTTTCCATCTTATTACTCAATATGAACAGTCAAATGTTTACTTAAGAAGGGGATATATAAAAGGGATTAAACTTGAGTACAAAATTTGTATTAAAAATTGAAGCCAGGTATTTTTTTCATGAGCCTTAAACAGAAAAATAAAATGAAATTTTGATTAGGCAAGTTAGATAAAGTACATGAGGGAGGGTAAAATGAAGTTATAGTAACAAAGACATTCCTTGAGATTTGATTGGAAATAAGAATCATAGGTTTGATTATTCTACTTTCTCACTAGCCATCTTAAGAGGATAAATGATCTTATTGTAATAGTAAATTCAGAATACAGAGCAAATGATAAGTTATAAGCTTATTTTATATATATGTTAGACTAAGCTCTCATTTTAACTAGTATCCCATGGAGTTTATTAAACGATAATCTTTGGGGAAACACTACTCAGGCCTTTGGTAATTTCTTTCTCCTTATCAATTGAATTAAGGGAAATAATCCCAAATAAGAAGAACAGGAGTTAATAAAGAGAAACAAAAAGAGAGGAAATTTGTAAATTGATAAATTAGGCTGAAGGTGGTAATATGGGGGAAACCTTCATAAGAATATACCAAAATACTGTGCTCACCATAGAGGAAAACAGAATTTTAAAAGAAAAAAAA